TTTAACTCCTAGGACAGCACTGGGGTTTGGGTTTTCCCCCCCAGAAAATCATTTACCCCTGATACAGCTCAGTAGTCATGGGCTTTTTTTTGCTGGAAGACAGCATCCGTTTCCTGCTTTTCAGGTGTCCCTGTGTTGTTTGAGGTGACAGCATCTGCAGCGCACGAGGGGCTTCAGAAGCACCAAATATTCCAGCTGCAGCTGAGCTGCGGTGGGGAGGCCGAGGTGGGTGAGGAACCTCATGGCTGACCCCCATTTCTCAGTGGGAAGAGAAAAGCGCTTCCATGGCAGACATCTGACAGTCATGGACTGAATTATAGCCAAGGACAGATTGTTTTCCAGTGGTGGTGTGATTTGAGACAGGGGCTTGAGTGGCATGGCCACATCTGTTGTGTTTGTCCCTGTAAAGTCAACCAGGTGGCCCAGTTAGCAGTCACTGGTCCCCAAGCAGTTGCATTTTCAGTGGAAAATCCCAAGATTTGGGACTTAGCTCCTTCAGTGTTTCCAAAGAGGCAAGGCTGGCTATTGAGCAGGATAGCAGCTCCTCCTCTCCCACAAAGTTTAGGGAGTGAGTGTGGTGGTAGTAGGGTATTTTTTTTATAATTCATGTGTGTCAGGAGGGGTGAATTAAGCAAGGAATGTACAATTGTAAGAGGTAGAAAAGTTGTAGCAGGTACCAGAATATTGCATGCATTTTTGTAAATGCAAATCCTGGTCACGAATGCAAAGCAGTCCCTGTGCAGAAAAGCAAGCAGCCAAACACACACGTGAGATGTAACCTCTAGACTCGTTTATCATGGACCTTGGCTGACCAGGCAGGAGAGCTGCTCATCCTTGACACTGTGGGCAACTGCAGCCTGCGAGCTAGAACTTGTGCTGCTTCCACTGAAACAGGGTGTTCATCCGCATCAGCTCCCATCTCAGGCTCCAGGCTCCTACACAGGCGTTACAGAGGGTGACAATATTAAGGTGAGGGTGACAATATTAAGGTATGCTGCTGAGTCTTGACACGTTCCTCCTGCACTACTATCGCTTTTGTAAAGCATCAAGTATTTCAAAGAACCAGAAAATAATACACCTTGCTCACAAATGAACTGCACAGATGGAGAGCACTGTCAGCAAAAGTTGTGCTTTAATTCCTGCATACAAAACCATTCATCTCTTAAATGATAGGAGGTACAAACCATAAAAGATATCAAAGGAAGAACATTTCTTGCCTGGGACCTATGATCCTCCAAGGACCCAAAGGACAGCTATTGCCACGTCCCTAGGTCTAAGGCAGTGCGGTGAGAACTGTCTCTGAGCAGAGGTCACCCGCTAAAGGCTGTGGAAAAGAACTGTCCGGATGGCACAGCCTGCTCCCTTCCTCAGGGCGATGATGCGGGCATGTCACTGGTTTCATGTGCCGCTGGCGTGCTCCACTCTCTGGTACTGGGCATATATGCAGCTCGCTCCTCTTCCACGTCTCTGCTTAAACACGTTTCCTTCCCACACCCTGCCAGGCAATGGCAAGGGTGAGCTGCAGCGGCTGCTGGGGTTTACAGCAGTGACCCCTCCCCAGCCACCCCACCATGGGCTGCGTGCTCCAGCCCCCTGTCATCGTGCGGCTGCACAACCACCCCCTACTCCAGCATTCCTTGCCCTGCCACCTCCTTCATAACCAGAATTACATGCATACCGCTCAATCTTCCTTATTCCAGCCAGGATTACAGGCTGTGCATGGAAATTACTAGTGGAGTCTGTAACCAGGAGATGCCTCTGCCACAGAGGAGAAGGATCAACCCAGGGTTACTCTAACGACCTCGCAGTCCAAAGCTGTTTGTGCCATGCTCTGATCCTGCTCTCCTCCCCTCAGCCACAGGCCCTGGATTTTAGCCCTTTCCCTCACAAGTGTCACCAGTGCCCTCCAGCAGCACGTTCACAAGGCTCAGTGCAGTGACCTGCTAATGAACCCCTCTGCAGTTCTCACACCCTGTCCCATAGCCCTGCTACAAACTTGAGATTTTCCCAGCTGCCCAGTGCCACAGAACTCAGGGACTGCTGGTGGGAAGCACCCAAAGCCAGCACTCGCGCTGCTACAACAGCACACGTACCGTTTCCTGGAGAACTGCTGGTCTATTTCCTCTAAGGACTGTCCTTTCGTTTCCGGAACAAAAAGGTAGATGAATATAATGGCCATGACTCCCATCAGTCCATAGAGAAGAAACATCCAAGAGAAGCCAACGGCATCTGCAGAGAGATTCAAGTGCACGAAGGGTCCGTTGGAGGTAGGCCACATCATGAGATACATAGCTGGTTGCTTACTGTGAGGAGGGCATTGGGGCTTGACTGGGCCATTTTATTTTGAGAAGCCCTCAAAAGGTCAGGGAACCTCCTTATCTGCAAGCCCTGGACTGAGAATCAGCAAGAGAGAAGGATGGTTCATGCCAGGCTCTGCCAGCAGCACCACAGAGGGAAGGAGAAGGCACCCGAGCTCAGGAGAGTGCCTCAGCCAAGAGCTCTGCTAGAAAAAAATGTCGTAAAGCTATGGGTGTGAACCCTGGAAACTCCATGGTTTCCTGATACTGCAGTACTATGTACAACAGCCCAGTGAGCGACGGATGCTTTTTATGAAACGGGTGGCATAGGGGCTCAGTCCAGTGTTGCTGGTGCCTATTTTTCTGCTCTCAGAGGCATCAGGGTCCCACATGTTCCAGTGTCAAGTCCTCAGGGTTCAAAATGCCACTTACTCTCCAAATGGCTTGTGGTAGCCACCTTCCCTAACCAGCTGTTGGAGACAAAGGGATGGGGGACAGCCACTTACCAATAAGGTCCAGGAAGGAGAGGCTGATCAGTAAATTAGCAGCCCAGTTAAAGCTGTTACAGAAGGCAAAGGCTCTTCCTCTTATCCCAGCAGGGTAGATCTCACTGAGGACCAGCCAGGTCACTGCATGGATTAGAGATCAGAAAGACAGTTGTAGGGGTTCAGCAATTTATTTGGGAAGCAGGCAGGGAAGATTTCAGCATGGGTTTTAAAACCCTGGTTTCACCCAGTACCAGCTGCTGGTAGAGTCAAACATTCACTGATGTCAGACAGGTCACAGCAGAACACTTAGAAACTCCCACGTTCAGCAGTCCACAGAAGAATGAAATACCAACAGCCAGGCTCAGGGAGCAAAGCAGAAAGCAGGCGAGTTGGTCATTCCATTCCTGGGAGATGGAAAAGGTCTGGCATACCTGCTGTCAGGATGTGCGCTTCATAAAGAAATGGGGGTAGGGGTAAGATTAGGGAGATGATGTTGCATTTGGGTTGAAATCAGAGCTAAAGCAATATATATATTAAAGTAGTCTCTCCTATCCCAGGATTATTTTGCTTTAAATATTTACAGCATCACTGTGAACCCATGAGACTTGCTCAATTATGTTTTTTCTTGAGTTAGATGCTGTTTTCTCCTATCAAGGCATTTAAAGGCATAAATGTCAGAAAACAGTAGAGCTCACACGGAAGCAAGAACTAATCTCTGCTCTTATCAGATGAATAAATGATGATTTCAGAAAAAGAACAACTGATACCGAGAAACTTTCAAAGAGATTCTACTTCCAGTTCTGAATTGACTTTCTTCCCTCAGTCCATCTGTCCTCGGCCCTCAATTCTCCTCCTCACCAGGGCGCTAGGATGATTACACAGAGCTTGTGGGATCTTGCAATGAGCTTCACAGAAAAGAAAAACCTTAAAACGGTAGTGATAGAATGAAAGTTATTCTAGTGCAGTACCAGCCCTACAGCAGACAGAGCTGCAGTACCAGGAAATTATTCAGTGGGCTGAAGGGGATAAATTTCCATTTTCCAGACGGCTGGAAATTACCCAGCTGCTTGGTAAAGCAGATGCATCATGAACCATGAACATTTCAAACAGATTATAAAGATCAGCCCCAGTTTTAATTTCTGGGTTAGTGCAAGAATGTATAAACCCCATACTTACTTGGTCCAAATCCAACTGAGAAGGCGCTCACGAAAGCCATCATGCTCAGCAGCGTAATCCAATTTAAGACCATATGTTCTGCCCAGGGGGCACCACCGAAAGGAGGGCCAGTGCTTCCCACTGTCTCTTCTTTGGCCTCACCCACCAAGCCCCTTTTCTGAGTGAGGGAAGAATCGGGAACAACCTCCCTGCTTTGACTACTGGCAAAAACTTTTGTAAGGCTCCTCGTGGCAGCAAAACCAGTGCCTGCCTGACCTTTGACAGCACCTAACCCTGGTGGGATGGGCGACACAGCAGGCTGGGAGGATAGGGGCCTCAGGGAGTGCTGGGACAGGCTGTGGGATGCATTGGGGTCTGTGGCTGCCTTGCAGTCCCTGGCCATGGCCAGCGGAGCGATGTGGCTGGTGAGGCCAATGGTGGTGACGGAGATGGCCATCACCACGCAGCCAGCCATGAGCAGCACTCTTCTGCCAGCCTTGTCCGCAAAGGCCATTGCGACAAGCGTGGCCACCACTTTTATCGCCCCCAGCCCGACAGAGGCCAGGATCGCTGAGGAGTTGCTCTGGAACCCCACCGAGTGGAAGATTTTGGAGGCGTAGCCCAGCACATTGGGCTGCCCAGTGAATTGCTGGAAAAGCACCAGTCCCAGGCCCACCAGAGTCCGCCTTCTCATGTTGTCTCTGGTCCTGAAAAGGTCAAGAAATGAGTACTGCTTCTCCTTATAGGGCTCCCGCTTTACTGCTGCTCTGTCCTCAGTGGTCTGCAACTGAATGAGGCCCTTCTGGCAGTCCGAGTCCCACGAGCTTAATTTAACAGGGTTCACTGGGAGGAAGAGGATGCTGAGGAACTGCATGGCCGTCGGGGCAATGGCCAGTCCAAACATGTACCTCCATCCCTCACCCACATCCGCAAAGATGTAATTCAGCGCATAGGACAGGAGGATGCCTACTGTGATGCCTGCTTCATAGAGAGACACCAGCAGCCCCCGCTGATGAGCAGCCACCATTTCTGAGACGTAGATGCAGCAGGCCATGGATGAGACAGAGATGGCAAAACCCACGGTCATGCGCCCAAGGACCAGCCCAATAAATGACCTCGTCAGTGTGAGAATAAGGCTGCCAACCAACAGGACCAAGTTGCTGACCAGGATTGCTCTCCTCCGTCCACAGCGGTCAATGAGGATCCCCCCAGCCAGAGAGGCAAGGAGAGCTCCAATAAGGAGGGCGCTTACGAGAACTTCTTGCATGAAGCAGCTGAGGTGAAAGTCTATCTGCAGCTGCAGCAGTGCACCAGAGATAATCCCCAGCTCATATCCAAATATCAGGCCACCCAGGAGAGACACCATTGCAGACAAGAGGAGGACCAGCAGTGCACGACCTGGAAAACAAGCAAGCAATGTTAGGTTCAGTTTTCTGGCACTAGCAGGCAAGCTATCAGTATGCACAAGCTGGAAAAGCTCTCCCAGGACACCCAAAGTTTTCCATTAACAAAGCCATGATGCTGAATTTCCCCATAGGTCACTAGATCACATGTAGAGAGGCACTTGCAGACAGTCACACAACCTACCAGGCCTGCACACACTTCCGCTAACCGCAGAGGCACTCATTTGCGGTGCAGAACTGTGAAAACAGGACTTAAAGAAAGTTAAGACTTGTATTTAAGTGGAGGACAGTGATTTGTACTGCCTGGAGTTGTACGGGGGAATCCTTCACGGTCTGCCTTGATTCTCATTACAAAACCTATTCTGGGCAGGAAACCCAGCTTCTTCTTTCTGCTTCTAAATTGTTCTGCATGATCATTTTCCTGTTTCAGTGTATGTGGCATCATCAGCTCTCACTGCAGGCTTTGCATTCCCACTTATCGTTAAAAATGATGGTCATGAAAGTTTATTTCTCTCACTTAATCTTGCACTCTGTGGAGGTGGCCCTGATTTCATCATCTCTCCTACGGCACACACTGCCCAGGATCCTTGAGCCAGGCACAACTGGTCCACAACTACAGGACAAACTTCATCATGAGTTGAAAAGCTCGCTGTTGCCCGCCCCAAACACACAAAGCAATTCTTTGACCTTGCTCTGCCATACAGCTGAGCATGAGAGTTTAGTAAGTATGTAAGTTTAGTTCAAATAAGAAAAAGCAACAGCAAAAGCAAAGCAAACCCAAACCAACCAACCCACCCCAAATAACCCTACAAAACCAAGGTGTTGCTGCATGCACTTCTCACCCTGAGGAGGGGATGAAAGGGTGACTATGCGTGAACTGTTGGTCATGTTAGTGAAGGTGTGATTGCATGTGGCATGACAGCCAGTGCTGATGTGACCTTTTGGGAAAAGTGACCAGTGACCTCCCCTCTCCAGTTACAGTTTTGAAGGCACAGGTGAAGTGCATCAGCTTAGAGGTTTGTGCTGGTTTGTGCTGGTTTCCAGCATATATACTACTTGTATTCTCACACTGGCCTTGTTTAATTAGAAATACTCACAGTTTCGACAGACTGTATGTGGAAAAATGCGGACACAACCACCAGACCATGGAAATCTTTCCTCACGCTTCCTGAGGGCTTTTTTCCCCTCACAAGCTGTGTTTAATAGGAAGTGTCTCTATTTGGCCTTTAATTGCAGCTAGCAACAAAGGTTATTTCTCTGTGAGGTCTGTATTTATATTTGTATTTATTCTGTAACCCTCTGTGTTTCATTTGTGTTACTTATACCATGCCAGCTACACGCCAGGCCCTCCCACCGTGCTCTGTGTGACTACCTGCACTGCTTTTATCCCTCCTTGTATACAAGTTACACAGATAATTAGAAAAAATACGTGCTCGCTGAGAATAAAATGTTCTGCATAGTGGGCTTGCCATTAGTTTCAAGCCACGAACTCAATTAGACACTGACCGCCTCGCTGTAATTACCACAGCTGATTCCATCAGATTTTGCTGTATTTCTTGTCAGCGTAAGGAGCAGTAATTTGAACGCCAGCCTTGCATACAGCCTATTCTGATGCGGTTGGGGATCTCGAGGGCTCTTTGGGTCTTGATCTGAGGACAGAAAGTTTGGCGGGTCTCCCAAGGAGCGATGCCAGGCGGTTCCCTGCCTATGGCAAAGTCTGGGCTGTGCTCCTGTGACCGGGACCACTGACCTGGCCGAGCCTGGGCTGACTTTCGGACTGTCCCTCTCTGCCAGCACC